CTAAAGTTTCGTCGGAACGAAGTTACGGAAAGTTAATTAACAAACGGAGACGTAACAATATCTTGTACTGTAATATTTTTCAGAATAATTTTATACTCAAATTACTTATTCAAAATGAATGTTGATATTATTAACTGAAATAAGCAAATTTATTGCTGTCTGAAGTGCCAAAATTTGGCTCTATTTTTGGCCTTTTTTGCTAACTATGTTGGCTGAATTTGGCTATTTTTTTTTCCTGACCATAAATTAATAACGCTATTTAGTAATTCTGTTTTGAACGCCAGAGCACACAGAAAAAAAAAAAAAAGAGGTTAAAATATGTAGACCATCTACAATCTCTTTGCTTAGAAATAACAGTGATTTGATAATTATTTATAATATAATAAATGTCGCGGGGAATTCAACAGAAAAACTTATTAAAATTAACCATTATTTAGAATAGATCCTATACCTATACATTTAACATATATATACAAATCTTGTACGATTAGTATTTTTACTATTGCTAACACTAACAGTACGTAGTGGCGTATGATTAGTAATGCGAATGCTGTAACAGACTGTATATGGTAGTGTTACTGTAAATATATAATAAAAAGAGGTACAGAACTGTTTAATATTGTGAATAAACGCGACTCTTATTGACACTATCAAGACAATTAAATCAGATCTACACCCAAGCCTTCTGTTGTATTGCAACGCAAAAACGAACTCTCCTAAGCGAAGGGTAGTATAACAAGAACAAACCTCACGATGATCGGGTCAGGAAAGCAAATCTTTAGAAAGGTATGGAAAAGTTTATTGAATTACTACTCTCATTTTTGTTGTTATTGTTAATTTCATTGGTTTATAATGATAAATAATAAAGTTGTTTTTCTGGTTTGGCATTGTTGAGTAATGTTTTTTCTTTTCCTAGATCTTCATTCAAATTATTCTACAAAATATTAATTAATATTAATATTAATATTACTCACAGTACTACTACTATTAATAACCAGAAATCATTGTTTAGACTTGCAGCCTATTTGTAAAGCTACATCCAGCTTAGTCCAGAGAGAAATTATGAAGACTGAAGAAGTATTTATAACTTCAGTTTGAATACCACATCCTCTATATTAGTTTGTTAAAAATTTAGAGTGAACTATATTTTTAATGTCACCAGAAATATCTTTGATCTGAGTACCTTTATTAATAGCAATACTATTAGTAAAAATCCAGCAGTTAGCTGTCTATTACCATAAAATTTTTCTTAAAAGTCCACTTCAACAAACTAATAATAGGATAACATAAGGACAACAAGGAATCATTGAAATTGTAACCTCTTTACTTGTATTCAATATTTCTGTAGATACAACCTAAAATCCTATTTGCCCTACCACTAGCAACTTGGATGGTTTAAGAGACTCATCAATCATTATACCAAGATCCCTTTCTTTCATGATACTGTTAAGATTATTCCCATCCAAATTATACTTATAATTCAACTTATGATAACCCACATGCATTATCTTGTATTTATTATAATTAAAACCAATTTGCTGTTTATTTGCCCAACTCACTAAATGATCTAAATCTTTTTGTAAATCAACAGCATCCTCTTCACAGCTAGCAATACTAAAGACTTACTAATATCACCAGCAAATTTAAGTAATTTATTGACCATTCCTTCACTTACAACATTGATGTACATCAAAAAGAGCGAAGGTCCTAAGACTAAACCCTGAGGTACTCCACTTGTAACATTAATACAGTTTGATTGAACTCCATTTATAACAACCCTCTGCTTTTTTCCATTCAGCTACTCTTCTATCCAATGTGCTTACTTATCCCCCATGTCCATAGAAATACTTTTTTTCTACAAACCTTTAATGTGGCACCTTGTCAAATGCTTTCTGAAAATACAGATACTCTAAATATACACACTTATCCTCATCTACATAAGCAGTAACATTTTCAGAGAATGTCAAAAGATTTGTAAAGCAAGATTTTCTCTTAGTGAAACCATGTTGACTATCCAATAAAATTCTAAGCTTTGTTAAGTGGCTTGTCAAAGGATCTTTTATCCAACATTCCAAAATGTTTCCTACAACTGTAATTACTGGGGCAATTTTATCACCTCTTTTGAAAAGAGAAGTGATATCTGCTAACTTCCAATCCTCTGGTACCTGCCCACTATTCAAGGAGTTACAAAAAATAGTTGCAAGTGGCTGTCATATCCAATTCTTAACCTCCTTCAAAACCCTGATTTCACCATTTTACAATTTTAGCTGTATTTAATGAATTCCTTTAAGAGATTCCCCAAACATCTTTCTACCTGGCCTGCTTAAGTCAAGCCTACATCTCACGGATCCAACCAACCCACTTGTAGCTCTAAGCATATCTTTGATAACCTTTCATTTAAGCTTTGAATCCTGCTACATAATTCATTCACACACATCTAATCTGAAGGAGTACTTGCAAAAGGGTCATATTTCTATTTCTGTCCCTATGATTTTCAGGAAAACTCTATTCCTCAAGCATATGCCTACTGTCTATTGACTTGCCAAAAGTGATAGAGGCTCAAGTATTTGATCTCTGACCTTCTTTAAAACTGTGGAGTAAAATTTTGAATTAATTAGTGGAATAATCCTAGCAGCTCTTTTTCAGTGCCCAATCCCAATTCAACACTATTGTTATTTTGATAAGAAGGAAGTACAGTAGCTCAACAACAACAACAACAAAAAAGGTTAAAATTGTAATGGTTTTAGGTAATACAGTTAGACATTAATTTACCACCACCATGAGAAGGGTAAGCATATAGCTCTGATAAATATCTGCAAAAGTATTGCTCATTTAATTTCAAAGAAGGTAAATGTCAGGATAATAATGTTATGACCACTGGTTCTAATTTTTAGACTAGAGTAGCATACATCATGAAATAATGTAAAAAGATATTGGAGAAATTAACTTTTCAGAGAAAGTGCAAAGAATGCCATTCACTGACAGTTGTTGGTAAAACATTTAAACCTGTGTGGGTTTTCATGCGAAGTTTGTTTAAAGTACCTAAGAATCCTAAATACAGTGCTACTTCAAATTTTGAATAAAATACTGTAAAATAAAAAATAAGATGCATATGCAATTATGAAAATATATAATCACCCATATTGTAATCTTTTCAACAAACAGTTCACATTAATTAGTAAGATTTATATTCCTACAGACTGGTTGATAAGGTGTGTCTTCAGGTATTTGTTTTTTGTTGAATAATATTATAAATGCTTCTTATTTCTTGCATTTTATGAACTAATTTCTGTGGATGTAGACATGTTTTATGTCATTTTTTAAAATCTGTTACTGTATTAAGTATCTCAGTTTCATTAAGCTATAAGAATGCCTTAAGATGTATTTTAATATTTTCTTTACTTCTCATGTTTTTTGTTTGTTTTTTAATGTATTTTTAAGGTTGTAGCTGTTTAGAAATGTATCCAACCATATTTTGTGTTTTTTGTTAAGCAGAGAGGTATAATAAGTCAGCTTTGATGCTTTCAACACAATATCAGAGCAATTCTGTTAGTCACCTATCATATATGAGAAGATAACTCAAGCCTAATAAATATTTGTACTAATCTCACACCATCATCGATTAAGGAACCCACATAACACAGTATCAGCACCAGCCTATTTAAATTAAAGGACTATCTTTATGAACCGAACATTGAGTTGGTATTTTCCTTTATCACTAATGTTAAGTGACGGTTTTTAGAACATAGCTCCAGGAGAAACTCGCATCGAAGCTTAGAATCATAAGAGTATATTGGATTCTATTACACAGCCAAATATTTTGTCCTACAAAACCAAAAAAAGGAGCAGATGATATCTATAAAAATAATGAATAAAATGCCTAAATTCGTTATTAAAAAATAGTCATCTGTGTATATTTTGGTAACAGCCCATAATTATTCATTAAGTTTGTTATTGATTTTTTGCAGTTTCTTCGAGGGATCATCAAGCCTTTGAGTAATAATACAGGAAATTCATTAGGTTCTATCCAATGTAGGTTATTCCATAAGTCCAATGAAAACCTTCTTCCTTTGATTCCTGTTGTCATAGAACAAACTGGCCGAGGGGAGAGAGCATATGACATTTATTCTAGGCTTCTGAAGGAGAGAATAATTTGTGTAATGGGCCCAGTAAGTATAATATCAACATGGAGTGTGAATTTGCTACTGTTTATGAAACCATAAAACTACATGATATAGTTTCTATGCCAAATTTACTTTAACATGATGTTACTGAACTTTATGTTTAGCTACTACATATTCCAGTCTTAAAGCAACTATACACTGTTTTTCCATAAAAATAACATTTTCTGTTTTTTTACAAATTACAAAAGAAAGTAGCATACAGGCATTGAGTCACATTTACATATTTTTTTATAATGAACTTTCATAATAAAAGACATAGATTTTATGTTACTACAGTGTAAGTTAAAATAATGTTTTTCTCATAGTTGAAAGAGAACTTTCTGTGTATGAACGTTTTTCTGTATGTTGAAATATGTACTGACTAAAAGTCTGTAAGGTATTTAACATTTAATGCAAAACACCTTAGGTGTGAAAAATATGGTGTGGCCAAAAAAGGATTGAGCTTGTGACTTAAAGGAATGAAATCAAAATTGATGACCAAACTTTTAGCTACACTTATAGCACCGATAAGAATTTTACAGCAAATATTCATCCATTAGTTAACTTGGCTACATGTTTTGTTTTACCACCATCATGCCCAAGTTGAACAATATATGCAGCCTAGCTGACTAATGAATGAATATTTGCTGTTAAATTCTTATCAGTGCTATAAGTGTAGCTAAAAGTTTGACCACCAATTTTGATTTCATTATTTGGAGTCACATGCTTAATCCTTTTTTGGTTGCACCTTTTATTCACACTTAAGATGTTTTTGATGAGATATCATGACTTTTTTGTCAGTACACACCAACAAACCCCAGCAAGTAAGAAAGTGACACTTGATACTAACCAACATTAGCTTTAGGATCACAATCCTATTATTCAGAACAGACCTATTTTTTAAAGAACCAGTTAGATGCTTTAAAATATATGGTGTAGTTTTTCTTGTCTAAAACACTGTTAATAAATTCCTTTATAGTAATGCCATGGAATCTAGATTAACAGTTTATTGTCATCACCTGCATGCATTCAGTATTGCCGTATCAAACATCATTATTTATGCTAATTGCTTAAGCTGATATCACGTGACACTAAATGCTCTTTAAGTAGGAGAATTTCATAAAATTTAGCAAATTTGTGCTTAAAAGTTGGAAGTGAATAATGAACAGTAACCATTCACCAGTATGATTCTTTTGAAAACTTGGACTATATTTAGAGGTTGCTCAATGAGGTTGAAGTTCTAGACTGTGTTGGTCTGGTACTGTATGTGCTATAAAAGCATATTTGTTATATATGATAAAGGATTTATTTAGAGTATATTATTAATTTAATGCATGTGCAATAGTATAATTGCATAATTATGTGATTTGTATATGATTTTGGTGTAGTTAGTTACTTTTTCTTTGTTATTGTTTCCTTTTTGCTGTTAGGAAAGCTTCTTTTATGATCCTGCACAACTTGAAAGACGAATTGTTTATGTTCTTTTATCTTTGTTATGATGGCATTATACTCCTCAATAAGAGATGCACCCCTTTTAGCATTGTTATTATCATATTCAAGTGTTGAACTGTCTGTAATGCCTTCTTGTAGGCCTCTCTTAGCTCCCATGACTTGGGGTCAAAATCCAGAAATCCAGATGGAATTTCAAGGCACCTGGAGAAGTCTTTTATGTTCTTTGTGACAAAATCTTCAATTGACATGACCTCAGACTTCCTGATATTCAGCTGTGTGTGCTTTGGAGGTTCATCCGTGCCTTCCTTTTCATTTAGTGCATTTACCATTGCTTATTTTGTCTCTGTAGATACACTTGAATCCATGAATGCCAAACCAATTAGTTCTTCACTGAGGTACCATAGATATCCAGCAACTTTTTGTCAGGAAGGTTTTGAAAGAGCAGATATTCACTGTCTTGTACTTAACAAAATATTGTAGGAAGTTCAGATCAATGCGAGGAGCAGATAGACCCAATCAGCTAAGATGCAGATGTCACAGAGTCTTTTATTCCTCATAGCTAGTGAGCTTAAATTGTCCCATAAACATCCAGATTTTTAGGGTATATAACACCTTGGCCATCGTTCATGCATGATGCAGTGTTCCAGATGCTATAAATCACAGTTAATGAGGAGAAATGCCACCAAGAAATGTTATGACTAATTCAAGAAGCTCTTATTAGTTGTTTTTAAGTTGGCTGACTTGTATTGAACTCATTGACATTGTCCTTTACTTCCTCTGTGACTCCTGCTACTTCATCATGGTCAGCTGCAGTTTTGTAACTAGATTGTCTATAGGAATACCCCATAAAGTCGTAGAAAACACATGCCTGAACAAATTCTAAGATATGATGCTGGCATATCAAATACAGAACATTCTTGTTTAATCTTTGTTCTAACAGCACACATGATTCATTTCTATGACCAGTGTTGCTTGCTGTTGTGTCAAAACAAACTAATTGTAAAACGTGTCACAGCATAAGTTTATGCCACTCTAATGCTAGAGACCAACTTTGGAACACATAGGAGTTGGTTTACTCCTGCTTCAGACAGGATCACTGACAGATGATCCACTTATGCTTGCCCTGTTGCTTTCCCAGTGAACTGATGGCTGGAACTATTCCTTTAAGTTTTTTAGAAGTGTTTCATTGAAGCAATGTTGAGATCTTCAGTTCAAGGAACAGTTGATGCTTAGCTCCTGCACATCATGACCAAGGCTGAGTGCTAGAATATTCCACATTAATATGCTAAAACCTTCCAGAATTATTTAGAATATTCTGAAACATTCTAGAATATTCAGAATATGCAGATATAATACAAGCTACAAGGTAAAATTTCAACTATTTTGAGCAACTCCTAAATGTTCTTCAATATGAATAAAATTTGATGAGAATTATGTATTTATGTACTTGAACAAAATAAGGGTGTGAGAGTGTTGTAAATCAAATCTTCAAAAATAAGGACCACCCTTGGGTTTAGGGAACATTGGTTCCAAAACATACTTACTGTGATACCATCTGCTGACACTTACAGCTATTCCTTGACCTCCAGAGTTTCAACTTTGCCCATCTAATCATTGGTCTGATTTTTTCTCCATTGCTCCAGTCTTTTATACCCCTCTGATTTGTCCTGTGCGATACACTTTCCACCTATATCAATGCACCCTCTATCCTCATACTGTATATACACACATCATTCATATAATTTTATCACTTTTTCTTGACAAAGTGTTTAGACATGGGTTTCTCTACACAAGTGTTGCAATAATTAACGTATCTAGTTTTGATTTTCGCATTGACTAGTGGCTTTCTGTTTAAATTATAATTGATAATTATTGTAAAAAAAATTGTGACATGCCATTTTCAGGTGTGAATTCACAGGTTATTGTGTCCAGCACAGAGACTAAGCAGCCATCTTCTATTCCACTTCTGTATCTAGCATCTCTCAAAGGTTGGGGGGAGGGGGTCACTATCAATTGAGGCTCTCTGTGATCTTATTCATTGTGAGATAGAGACATGTATTCTTTCTGGGGGTTTCTGAGGCTGCTTTTGTCAATGATCCAGGATAGTCTGGAGAGAATTTGGACTTTCTTTTTCTGGCACCTTTGTTTACTAGGTTGCTTCTCACGAGGCCAATTTGAATCAGCTGCCTCCTGCTCTATTTTTTTTCAGTTAGTCAGTTGAGTTTGTGAGGTTTGAGGGCTTTTTCCAGTTGCCTTTGAATCTATTCCTTCTTTGATGACTGAAAGTTTTGAGGGTGATTACTTAGTTTTTCCTCTTTCATCTGATATTGCTGTTACTGCTGGGAGATTGACTGCTCTATCACGAAACAGGATAGATATACCTTGTCCCTCTCATTTGTCTGAATAACATGCTTTGGCTTACCTCTGCCAAGTGGATGTATATTTTGATTCCACAGACTAGATCCACTTTTGGATATGTGGGATTCCAGACTAGATCCTGTAATCACTTTGAACAAATCACAATTTCTCAGATTTGTTTGTTCCTCACTCCTGTTCTGATATTTTTTCTCTCCCACCCCCACACACATTTTGTCGGAAGCCTATCAATGGTTCCCACATCAATTTGAGGATGACTTGGGTCTTTTGCTGACTTCTACATTAGTAAGATTTTCAGCTTCTGTTCTTTCTTTGGTTTCCTGGCTTGAATGTTAAGATTTATTGAGTAGAGATGCCTTGTTAGATGGAGTTCGTCTACCTGCTTTAGCCATCTGCAAGTTACATGAGGCTCCATTACTTAATCCTTTTGATATTTGCATGGGTCCCAGAAGTGTAGGAATCACGAATTGATGTCATTCATTTGCTTTTTTCCATGTTGTTATTGGCCTCTAGACTTTCTTTGTCTTCTGCTGGAAGTCATGGCATGACTGCTCATCGTGTGTCCCGACCCATGGCTTCTGTTCCTCGCTCAATGGATACTCTGAATAGATTCCATCCTTAGTCTCGAGGCTCCTCTGCCTAGGCAGACTGTTGCCAATGGCGTCGGGGACTATTCGTTGTTGGTTGGGTCTGTGTGAGTGAGGTTATAACAGGTGAAGCACACCTGGAATTCTTTCACCACAGATCCATGGGTACTTCAAGTTCTGGCATCGAGGTTGGTCAATCCATTAACTTCTCTACCTTTATTATCCTCCAAACCTGTGGTATTTTCATGCCCAACAGATCTGTGGAGTGTGGGTCTTTGTTCCAAGGCTATCAGAGAGTTACTGGTCAAGGGAGTGGTAGAGTCAATCCTGTTCTTCTAAGATTTTATTCCTGTATATTTGTTGTGCCCAAGAAGATGGGAGATTGGTGGCCGATCGTCGATCTTTCTTGTCTCAACCAATTCTTAGACCCTCCCAGATTCACAGTGGAGTTTTTTCTCAACCTACATTCGCATTCTTCACCAGGCCTGTGGATGACCAAGTTCAATGTTGCTGATGCATATTTCCACATTCTCATAGCGAAGTCATCCTGTAACTATCTACATTTCGTACACAGGGATCAGATTTTGCAGT